AAATTTTTTTTTTTTTAGAAATTTTTTTTTTTCAGAATTTTTGTTTTTTTTGAAAAAAATCTTTTTTTTTTTTTTGAAAAAAAATTTTTTTTTTTTTAAAAAAAATTTTTTTTTTTTGAAAAAAAATTTTTTTTTTTTTTGGAAAAATTATTTTTTGAACATGTGCAGAGGAGGGACAGTGGATACATTGGTAGAAGAATGTTAGAGATGGAGCTACCAGGTATGAGAAAGAGAGGAAGGCCAAAAAGGAGATATATGGATACAGTGAGGGAGGACATGCAGATAGTTGGAGTCAGAGTAGGAGATGCAGAGAACATGGAGAGATGGAAATCAATGATTTGCTGTAGCAACTCCTGAAAAAAGTTGAAAAAAAAATTTCAAAAACATTTTTTTGAAAAAATTTTTTTCCAAAAAAAATAAAAAAAAAAAAAAAAAATTGTGTTTGAAAATTTTTTTTTTTAATTTTTTCAAGAAAAACATTTTTTTGAAAAATTTTTCTTGAAAAATCTTTTTTCTTGAAATTTTTCAAGAAAAAAAAGTTTTTCTTGAAAAATGTTTTTTTGAAAAAATTTTTTTTGAAAATTTTTTCAAGAAAAACGTTTTTTTTTTGAAAAAAAATTTTTCAAACATTTTTTTTGGAAAAATTATTTTTTCAAATAATTTTTTTCAGAAAAAAAATTTCAAAAAAAATTTTTCAAGAAAAAATTTTCAACAGTATATTTACATTATTTACAGAGTTTGACTAATTAATGTACTCAGTGAATAAAACTTCTAGACATCCCTCGAGTTGTGAGACGTGAACAGATGTCGTACTCGTAGCTTGTACTGCACAGATGGGAACACGTTGTAATGAGAAGAGCGTTTGTTTGTTTGTTTGTTTGTTGTTTGGTTGAAAAATGTCCTGTGGTAAAAATATTCACAGTCCAGATCTAGGACTTGGATCAATATGACGTCAAAACGTGTGTAAACACAAAAAGTGTTTACAGTCGTTGATAAAATCAGAAACAAAATGGACCACGACCAAGAAATGGAGGGAATCGAACAACGTTATGAAACTCTGTTTCTTCAACCCTGGATCAGAATAAAATATTAACAGACGAACTACAGCCAAAAAATGACTGGTTAAACTGAACAGACAGAAGCAAATAACAGAGCCAGTGATGCCTCAACTGTCACAGGAAAAAAAACCTTATCCTAGAGAAGCTTCTATCGTAACAGAACAAATCCTACGGTGGTTTCTGGACTGGTCAGCAGCCATTATAGAAACAGACGTTATAGAAGACAAACATTCACACGGAAGAGGAGATTAAAAACATTTAACCATACAGCAGTCAAAGGGAGTGAAAGTGAGATTTCATTTCCTCGACCACAGAACCACTAAACCCCGGCGGTTCTGAGGCACGGGTGGATTATTGAGGATTGGATGGACAACATATCATGGCATTACTGCAGGCTGTAGGCTGACCATCTGCTCTGCTCCGACACAAACAGTGAGGACACGTGCCGCCGCCGCTGACAGCGGAGGGAACGCCCCCACACACAACTCTCTCCCAGAACGGCACTCTCTCTCTCTCTGGACGCCCGCAGATAATCCTTGGTGCCGATTTTTGGCATTTGCCCTTTTACAGGAAACCTCTTTTCGCAGCCAACTGACAGCACAGGTCTGAGATTACAGTTGAAATTTAAAAAAAAAAGACATAATGTTGTTATGATAAGTGATTGTCGATACGGACGGAGAGGTAATAATAATAATAATGATAATAATAATAATAATAATAATAATAATAATAATAATAATAATAATAATAATAATAATAATTGAATACCTTGTTTATCCCACAATGGCGAAATTTACAGTGTGAGTCATTGCAATCCACACAGGCTGCCACAGGAGGTGCCATTGGGGATATGTGGTAATTGAACCCAGGACTCTCTGCTCTGTGCTTGTAAGGCAGGCATGCTAACCGCTACACTATAATTAAAGTAATTCGTCACTGTGTTCACAGTCATAACAACGTTTTTTTTCCTCAGGGTCCGTGGCTACGCATGACTTCAAAAATTGTTTCCGCTCGGTTTTGAACCAGAGACCTTTCACGTGTGAGGCGACCATGATAACCACTGCACTAATGAAACCCAGATTTAACATTTTTGTGGGAATAAACCATGAAGGAGTAAATCAGTTATTTGGAAACTTTTTTTGTTTGTTTTTTTAACCACAGACCAGCTCCGAAAATATCTGTGGGTCCAAGTACCAACAGACTGTGTCAGGAGCAGATAGAGGGCGCACTCGAGTGAACTAAGATAAATGACGACTGGTAAATGCATAAAGGCTAAAATGCTAAACTGCGTTTATCATTTTTATGCCATCTATTGGGGAAATGTGGGAATTGCAGGGAAAAGGCAGAAAGATAATGATATTATAAATACATTATATGATTTGGAAAAGTTTGGCGGGCCGGATTAATAAGCTGAACGGGCCGCATCCGGGCCACGGGCCTTAGTTTGCCCATGCCTGATCTAGACAAAAAAATGTTTTTGATTATTGTCATTATCACTGTGTCACTTAGATCTGATAAAAATAAAAAAATAAAATATGTCATAATTAAAAATGTCCGCCTCAGGTTTATAGGTTCATTATGTAGTAATATTTTAACAACAACAACAACAACAACAACAACAACAACAACACACTCCTGAATCCTTTTCTCCAGAGATCACAGCCATAATTAATGATGATATAAAAAAACATTAATTTCACATATGGTTTGATAATTAGTCATTTCCTGCAAATTACCTTTAAACAAACAAACAAACAAACAAACAAACGATGGTTCTCTGGTTTCACCGTCTCCCACAGATGCTAGGCTAATGGAGTCACTGTTTACGGTTTGCACATTGACCTGTTGGCTCAGCACTTCTCTCCTCGAGCTAATGCAGCGCTACGATGAATAAGACCAGCGTATGGATGTATGTATACCAGCAAATGAGAGGAGACACACACACACACACACACACACACACACACACTCACCCCTTTCAGCTGCTGAGCGCCGGTGATTTGTTGAAAGACTCTGTCAATCTCCTGCTCGATCCTCCGGGCCCAGTGCATTATCCTGTGGAGACATCATCACAGACTGAACGTCACACAGCAGAGGAGATACAATACTGTGTATGTGTGTGTGTGTGTGTGAGAGAGAGAACCTGTGTAACTAGACTTGTGGGGACAGTGTTGGAAAAAACAGTCTTCTTTCGGGGACGCCCTTCGTTGTGGGAACGTTTTTGAGAGAGAGGGTATTTAGAAGATCAAGATTTAGTTCTGGGTGAGGATCAGACTCAGGACTGAGGGAGGAACTAATTAGGCCTCTTGAGAGGTGGAAGGGACGAAAACATTCTTCTAGAACCAAGATATTCCAGTTGCTGAACTGCCTCGGAGAAAACGACCCGAGTGACTGAGAACCCGCACAGATACAAGGAGAAAAAAAATGGTCCAGAAAATGGCAGTCATATGTCTGGGGTTGTTACAGTCAGAGGTGAGAGAATGTATCATGTGTATGTGAAGTGCTCCTCAATCACAGTAGTACTAGTTAACTCCTAACTAGTGCCACATTTATCCAGAACAGTAGGGTTTTTAAACCAGCTGTGTCGATTCATCGTCATCGTTATTGAACAGCAGGATATTTACAAAGCAAAGAAAAGCAGTTGCGGTAAAAATGAGCTGTGACAGGCCAAAGTGACCGCATGAAAATGCAAATTGCAATTTGTGGTGAAAAGTGATATAAATTCTATTGTGATCCAAATTCTGGTGACAGTAAATACCACAAATAAACAAACGACTGTGGGAATAAAACTGAGGAACTGGAACTGGACGGCAGTAATTTCTTCTTGAGACTGGAGATGGTTGGGAAACAGTTTTAAACTCACAGGTCAAACTGTGCGTCGTCTGTGATGAAAGATGGAGAAAATCCTCAGACCAAGTGGAGGGAACATGGAGGAGGCTGATTGTGTTTAACTCGTGTCTGAATCAAAGTCAGCAGCACAAACAGCACTGATATCAAATACAAACAACGGCCCGAGCCAGCAGCCGACCACGGAGGAGCGCCAGCAAGTCAATAAAATGTGTAGGTTCCAGATTATTCCACCAATGAGACTCCAACCGCCGACCTCTGTGTTAGCGCTGCACTCCAACACATAAATCACAAGCCGGAGTGCGGTGTCAGCACATGTGATTCCAGCAGCTAATTCCCACCCGGCAACACAAACACTCACGCTATTTAACAAGAAAACTACGGACGAGGGGATCAATAAAATGTGATTTTCATTTACGGAGTTTGAGCGGTTTGTCAGCGCCGCAGTGTTGTGGGAAGAAACACGTCCAAACACGACGCAGGAGTCGGGTCAAGTATCTCACTCGGAAACACATCCTCCCTCTGTTTTCTTCATGAACCATTAAATTATTTTTAGATCGTGAAGCAGCAGAGATAAGCCTTCGTCAGGAAGGGGGAGAGAAAAGTGGTGAGAACCGAGTCCAAGGTCGACTGGTTTCTTACCGTGTTTGAGAAAACGTACGTACGTTTTAGACATGTTTGTCCAACTCTGTCTTTAAGGCTTAACACTTTTGTCTTTTTTAAGTTTTGGAAAAACAAACAAACAAAATCCGTCACAAATCTTCTGTAATTTTAGGTTTACATTTCGTTTTCTGAGATCTAAAAATCCTGATATAAATTTTAAAAAAATGTTCATTTATTCAGGGATTTTTCCCAAATAAGTTCAGCAGTGAAATAAATCTTTCTGTGAGAGAGGTCGGGCGAAGCGCCCGCTCCATCGACCGGCCGTCAGTCAAACAGCTCTCAGCAGAATTACGAGACAGCAGCACAGATTCAAGTCTTGTTCCTAGCGTTGGATTAGCCACAAATCTACGACCGTCCACATCCTCCTTCAGAACAAAGAACAAAGACAGAACTTTCTGCTTTGATGCTTTTTTTCCCCTGTGTTTGTGGAGAAAGTGCAGAGAACATGGAACTGTCTACAAATCCAGGAGCTGAGCTGGAACTCCATACAGTCAGCCGAAAATTAAAATGAGATTAATGATGTCGTCAACAGACACAGAAGAATCTACACGTCAGGATCAGAACGAAGGCAGTTAATGAGACATAACTGAAAATCCATCCAACCATAAAATCAAATATTCATCAATCCTATCATCCCGCCATCCATCCATTTATCCAATCATCCATCCATCCAATCATACCATCATCCATCCATCCATCCAATCGTACCATCATCCATCCATCCATCTACAGTAAAAACCTACTGACTCGACTCATTTACAGATTCTTTCTTGTTCCATATGTTGTATCCCAGCAGACTGTTACTGCTGCTGTTACTGCTGTTACTGCTGTTACTGATGCTGCTGCTGTTACTGATGCTGTTACTGCTGTTACTGCTGTTACTGATTGTGCAGGTTACTGATGCTGTTACTGCTGTTACTGCTGTTACTGATGCTGCAGCTTCCACACTATTATCTGCAGTACTCTCTCACCCCTGGGACGACAGTGAGAAGAGCTTCACGTGATGTGACCCATATTCTCCTCCAGCAGATACAGAGGTGGAGTTGATGTTTGATTAAGAAAGTTGAAATTTGAAAGTTTTGATCCGTCACTTTTTGGGCTTCGTTTAAGAGTGAACTCTTCTACCTCATGACTGGGAAATAAAACAAACCAACAAATATCCAGATTTATATTCATAAGTCCATAATGTGGCGCTGTTGTCCCACTAACTGCTTCCTAAAAGTGAAGGTACGTTTATATTTTTGCCTGGTCCAAGGACTGAAATTGAAGTCCTTTAAAAAGTTCTTCAGATTTTGAAAAGGCGAGTTAACTTCATCTAAAAAAAAATGCTTAGAAAAATGTGCGTTAGCATCTGTAAAAAAAATAAATAAATTAAAAAAATGTTCAAAGCAGCAGTATCATCTCTCAGTGTCTGTTCTGTAAGAACCAGGTGTGCTCTCACCGTGGCCGTCTCCTGTTACAGGGATAAATGTGAGGGTCAGACTGAGAGATCACTGCTCTCAAACACAAACAGTGCCACGCCACAAAAATCAACCGGGTTGGTTAAAAAAACAACTGCTACTGGCTGCTCACGCTAAATCTAACGCTCCTTTAGTTTTACTTCTGATGCTAATGCTAACCCTTTATTAGCAACGCACCACAAATACACAAACAAAAACCCTACTTCAAGTCACTGGATAAAAACATTGTTTCTACTGTTTTCAGTGACAAACATCCATCCATTCATCCATCCATCCATCCATCCATCCATCATCCACTGCTAACTCCTTCTCGGGGTCTCGGGGGTGAAGGGTGTGCGTAAAGATCAGACCTAAAGCAGCTGTTTGATGTGTCTGGGCTCTGAGCCCTCAGAGACGACGGCGTAATATCATGTGTATCCTCACCCTCACCCTCACCCTCACCCTCACCCTCCTCTACTCTCTCCCCTGACTCCCCCCCCTTTTTCACCATTATTTGAAAAAAAATAATTTAAGGAACTTCATTAGAATTTGTCCAATCCTGCGTTGAGTTCTACATTTGTCCACCAGGGGCACAAAGTGGTCAGCGACGCAGGGCAATTTGATATTTTAAGTTTAATGGATCCAGTTTTACTGCAACATCCACCAAGGTTGGACTTAATGCACTGTTGTTACTGGAGACGTCAGGAAAAAAAAACAAAAAACAACATCCATCTCTTTTAATCTATCTATACGTCGTCTCTCCATCATCAGTCCATCCATCCGTCCATCCATCCGTCCGTCCATCTGTCTGTCTGTCTGCAGATGGAGGGAGGGAACACACAGACAGTCGGGGCGGAGCGAGGAGGGCAGTGTGAGAGGGAGAGGCAGGAGAGGAGAGGGGATAAATCCTCACTGCTGCAGTATTAATTCTTAATTGGAACGAGACGCCTCGTCTTCAACGCAGCCGTTCTGCTTCATTTATCCCCTACATGAGATAGAGACGCAGGGCAGGGGGCGCTGGAGGTACTCCAGAAAAAAAAAGGAAAAATCAGTGCCAGGCAGGATGAGGATGATGATGAGGAGGAGGAGGATGACACACACACACACACACACACACCAAACTCTGAGGTTTATAGAGGCTGAAGCTAATTGGTAAATACATCTGGGGTCCCTTGTTGTGATTGGCCAGATCTGTCTGACTGCGTGCCTGGAGGATGAAGGCACCATATGGCTTCCTTCCTCCAGAGCGGCTCGGTTGCCAAACCTGGAGGTGGTCTGTGAGACCACCTGTCCCCACGAAGACCACAGGTCCTGTTTAACGCGGGGACACGTTAAAGGTGAGGCGTTAACGAGAGAGGAGTCGCCATGGAAACCACACCTTTGGTCGTCCTGGATCATTCTGTCTGATTTCAAGAAGGTGGGGAGATGATTTTTTTTTTTTTTTTTTAAATGTTAATGTCAACTCTTGATGTGGTCGTCTGTTTGGACCCAGTCTGATTCTGGAGCACAAGTTTCCTCTGAGGAGTTTTAGTTTGACAACTATTGAGCAGACAGACCTAATGATCCACCTCTGACTTCAACAATCACATCATCCATCACCTTTAATCAAACACCACGTGATTTACCCTGAAAACAGCAGCTGAGTTATGAGGAGAGAGAAAGAAAAAATATCACAGAATATCACACTAATAATTATTACTCATTTTCATCATTCCTTTTCCCAGTCTCTGGAATGTTCCTGCTCATATTTGATCATAATAATAAAAACCCAGGACTGTATTTACAGACACGGTCGGTGATTTCTGTCTGACTGTGACAGAGAAGTGTGTCAAACGTGAGCAGCTGTCAACGATCAAAGTTGTCCCCCAGTCCCTCACCCGTGTCCCCTCCGTCAGACCGACTCTTGACTTACGTGTACTGCTGAGGGAAGGTGAGAGCCGCCGCTCCGGGCCACGACGACGCGCTGAACAAGATCATGATCATCTGGAGAGACAGCAGGCAGACGGCGCTGCAGGAACGTTTTCCTATCGCCATTTTCCATCAAAAAATCCCTCTCTTCTCTTCACTCTCTCTTTTTTTTTTATCTTCTTCTTCTTCTTTTTTTTTCTTTCTTTCTTTCGTCTCGGTGCGGGGCTGGAGCACTCCGGGCTGGGCTTTAGTGTAGAACAGTGTCCGGGCTCATCAGCTTCATGTCTGCGCGGTGTTGTCAAGTGGACGCAGCGGCGCAGAGAGGCTTTGGCCGTGAAGGCATCACGGACGGTGAGGATGCTGTGATGCAGCTACAGAGATTCTGCTGCAGAGTCTGAGCTGCTGCTGCTGCTCTCACATACAATACACAGGCCCCTCTCTCTCTCTCTCTCTC